ATAAAGTAACTGAGCTGTTCCTGGACTGTCTCATTGTGGTTCTTGGGCTGAACCTGACAATATGACAGGCCGAGATGGTATCCCTTTCTGCCTATTATTTATGACCAGATCTCTCCATGCTTATCCCTTCAAGGTTCATTATTTGTTTGGAGGAAATCCAGGCAAATCCTGTTCTCCAAAGATGAGGCTGGACGACTTCTGGTCGTTGAAACTCTGCCGGCCGTCCAAGGAATACTTGCTTCGCCATTGCAAGTACTTGATAAGGAAGCACAGGTACAGGCCTGCAAGGGCTGCTTTAGTGAGAAGAAGCAAAGGCTTGGGGGTGTGTGCGGTTGGGGGGAAACGGGGCAACCCTCCCTCTTTAATAGAGCTCTCTCCCTCCCCGGATATGAAGCCTTAAAGGTCCATAAAGGCTGCCATTAAAGCTTGTGGCTTTTTTTCTATTTGGTTTATTTCAAGGGAGCTCGTTCTGGCTGTTTTCAGTTAAACGGGACAATAGTTGGCAAGCGTAATCCCATTTCTGTACAACTTGCCTCTCCTCATTTCTGTCCCACTCTACCCTAAATATACACGTTTAACTCCGATTAAGTGCTAGGGGAGATTTTGCCTTACCTTCGCCTGTCTCTTCAACAATCTGCTTCTGTTAAATTTCCATTTTTCTGTTACTTTCTCCTACTCCTGTTATGAAACTGGATTGAGGTGCTGTGCCTTCTAGATGTACCAGTGTTTATTTCTTGGTGCTGATCCTTACACACAACAGACCATCCATGCACGCAGACCACTCCTACACTGCATTATACTCAGAACACACATGAGAAGCATTTTAATAGTTGAGTCAGCTTCTAACGGTGTAGATTTCAGAGTGGGTAGTCCACAGGCTGCACATGACCCCAAATGTCCCTTCTGCCAAGGGACATCACCACCCCTACCCTATCCCCGTAGGACTTTCCGGGACCCTCAATTCAAGTAAGCGGGTGGAGGGGTGGAGAGGTGAATACCTTGGCCACAAAAGGGATGCCTGCTGCTGTCATACGTAATAATTTTGACCTGCTTTGTAAAAATTCACATACTGTTTTTACTTGAAAGGAAGATGAGCTGCTCTCCCCGCCCCATTTTAGGGTTTTAGGCAAGAGGGGAGAAAAATCAATCCCCTTATACTCCAGCCACACTGTTTAAATGCCGCTTAAAAGGAGAAGCCGCTTTTGTCCCACTAGGAATTAGGATGTCTTCTCCGGCCTCCCTGCGGGCATTTCCTGGGTTCAGGAATTACCAGAAGGGTTCAAAGTCCCTGCTTCGGCCTGGGGATGCACTTCAGCCCTTTTTTGGAATGTCTAAATTGAGCTTTTCTTCTCATAAGTCCAGTGACCTGATCCTCTTGCCCCTTCCCCACCCATTTTCTCTTCCGTTCTGAGACCAGCTTCCTCTTCCCTACCTCCCTCTTTCTTTTCTCCATCTTTTTTGCTGTTTCTGCACCTGTGTGAGAAAAAATGGGTACTGGGCACTTACAGTGGGGCTAGATGACCTCTGCGGTCCCATCCCTTCCCATCCTTATATTCTGTGATTCTAAGGTAAACTTGAACATTGCGTGGGGGGTGGGGATGGGGGGTGTTCATAATTGTTTCCCCCCCCCTTTTTTTTTGTTAGTTCTTCCTTTGGTGGTGGGTGGCGGGAATGTCTTAAATTCAAGCTCATCTTTGGGTCGGGTAAACATAGTACAAAACCTTGTTCTGTTGGAAAAACAGCTGATGGACGCTGCTTTCCCTCTTGGAAGATTATGCAGGAAACAGATTATTTTAGCTGTTGTCTTTTTGCGAGCTGCAGATGAAAAACCTCATACATCTCAGCAGAAGTGCTCCACAGAGCTAGGGCCTTGTGTGCTAGGAGGCGCCAGGTCTTACCACACATGGAGACGGGGTCAAACATTACAGCCATCTTCCATCCAGGATCACTAGAATAAAAGGAGGGAAGGGAAGGCAACAGAAAACCCTGTCTGCTTTCCTGAACATCTTGAAATATTAGTAGATGTAAAATAAGATTTACTGAGGAATTGGTATAATGTAACTCATCAACCTGAGCCCTAAAGGACTTTCCTTACCCAGCTGTGGCCTTCCGTATTCTTCAGATGTTAGTTTTTCTGGCATCGTGATGAAGCTTTTGCCTTTCTGCTAAACTTGGGATGAAATCCCCCCCATAGCACGTGGCCCTTAAGAATAATTCCCCCTTCACCCCCATGGAAATGTGAGTGTATTTATTACAGTTTTCACTACTACATCATGCCATTTAGCAACTTAGCTTTTTGCAAGTGCTTAGTAAAGTAAGCGTGGAAGCTTCCTGGTTTGGAAACCTTTCCACTGTTCTTTTAGAACAGTGTTTCTCAACCTTAGCAACTTT